AAAAGAGTATTAGAGAATTCTAGTAAAGAATCAAGAAAAAAAAGAAAACTGGCAGAATAACAAATAATTACTTTTTTTTCAACTTTGTTACTTTTTTAATTACCTTTTATTTTCAATCTAGGTCATTTTTTAGTCCTAGACAAAAAAAAAAGCATAAATTGGAATTTGGCATGTCATGATAATTAATAAATTCACTGGTCAAAAGTGGCAACATACACTTTTCCTGTTTTTATTCTTTTTAAAGCTACTTGTCATTTTATGGTTACACAGGAAAGTAAGTCTTCTATATCATTAAATGGTCTCTCTTTCCTTTTCTTACAGATCATTTTTGCAATTTCTGGTCCTATACCCCCATATCATTCTAATTTCAAATTCTTAGGCACTGTTAATATCTATTTGATCATTAGCTGTTTTTCAAAAAAAACAGTTGATAAAGTTCTTAATTGCTTCAGTATGACTAATGTTTCTAAAAAAAACTTGTAATAATGAATAATACCTGCAGCAAATTCAGCTCAACTAGCAAATGTGTATCCATAAAAATCTCTGAAATTATTACAATCCACCACAAAATAGTTATTATGCTCTAATGGTTTTGATAAAAGATTGATGTACTTCTACCATTTGTAGATAAAAGCAAGGCTGAATTTGTAATGGAAGAATTTTTCCTGATCAAATTGTACATTTTTTTTATCCCTTCTAAATATTTATCATACTCTTCATCTAAGGTTTCTGGTCCAAACTGTTTTCTCAAAGCCCAAACTAGTTTGGGCAATTTGGGCTTCTCAACATTTTCTATAAGCATGAACATTAAAAAACTATATGAATCAACTTGTTTTAACTTAAACAACTTTAAAATAATTTTGCCCAATTTCGGCTAATAACAAAAAGTAGTTTGGGCTTATAAAAAAATAATTTTTGCCCAAAGTATTTGGGCAATTTCGGCTACTAATAGAAGCAGTTTCGACCAGAAACCTTAGACATTAATGGCAAACATTTTATTTTCACAAATTGCATTCTTCAGTTCATTATGAATATTGTTGAACATGATTATGTGGTAATGCAGGAAGTTCTTGGAGGATCCAGCCTTTACCAGTTCCAGGTCCACCAACTAGGACAAGAATAGGATGAAGTGAATGGTCTCTTATTTTTCTCTTTAATATATATCATTCCTACTGTCTGAGCCATTACACAAAGTTTGTAGTGTATCTTCTTGACCTTTTAAAGGAAAAATAGAACCAAAGGACTCCACAAGCTAAAAGTAACAATGTTAATCAGTATTTAACCAGGTTAAGCAATTATTGGAACATAGACATTATAATACCTTGGATGGTTGAACATCAGGATTTTGTTTAAAATGCCTTATCCAGGCATAAATTGACTCAGAGTTTTTCCAGTTGGGACCCTCACTAACACCTACTAATATGAAAAGAAGTTAAAATCATAAACAGTATACCAAATAAAATGTTCTCTTAAACGAATAAATAAATAAATGAAATAGAATGAACAAAAAAATTTTTTTTTATGCAATTTGTTCATTACCTTTTTTATCAAATCCTGCTAACACTTTTTGCAACTCCTCCGCCTGCTTCAACCTGTTGTCTACGTTCTTCTTATTTTTCCAGTCTCTTCTTCTCCTCCTTGTCCTCTTCATTAAGTGATTGGAAATTTTGTATACAAGAATTAATCAGGGTCACTAAACCAGGTGGATATATCGAGGTAGATATAGATAATATAAATAAACAAACAAATAATAAATAATGGCTATAATAATTATTATATATCGATTATATTTATTTACAAAATATTTTTATATTTTCCTTAAGAGTTCCGAATTTGAAATTCCTGCGTTGAATAGAGGACCTGTTTCAAAAAGAATGTCAGATGCATGTAAGTAAAATGCAGAGGTACATCGAATGGAATGAATTATAATGAATCAGCTGAATTAATTAATTATTCTCTATCCATATTATTCAAAGGGATTGCAATAATGAAAACCAAAGATATTGATATAACATATTCGAATAAGCTCGAAGAACTTTTTGCATCATATGAAAGTTTAACAAACATCAGGCATAAAATGAGGCTACTTCCTATAGGTAAATGGGGTGAAAGAGTCGGTGAAATTATGTCGGAAGATTTGATACTACTCTCAAAAGCTTTAGGGCCTGTTCTAATACCTGCTTGGGGTATAGGGATTGATCAATATAATGAATTTATCGAAGTTTTACCGGACGAATTGACCGAGTACAAGACTTTTACAAATATTCATGTTATTTATTCCCAAAAACTTAATGTAATATAACAAGGGAATTTTTATAATTATATGTATTTATTATTATTATGTATTATTTATTATGTATTTTTATTATTTTGGCATCAATTTATTTTAATAGCTACTTACGCTTCCACGATAATTATCACTAACGTCCAATTGACGTAAAATGTAAAAAGGAGATTATTTATTATTATTATTTTTATTACGTATTTATTTATTTAGATTTTCTTAGAACAAATAAAGATAGAAATCGTGAAACGTATTCTAACTGTACAACTCATTTACATACCACATGATGATCATTTTGGAAATGTTACGCCAATTATTATACAGTTCAAAATTTTATTAACCAGATCGGGACCAGTGCATCAAGTAAAAACATGTTTAAAGTTGAATTTTGTGGTTAAAAAAACTCCAAATACCGTTAAATCGTGGATTATGTCATTAAACAAGTTAAAAAAATATATTTGAATTATATATATGGGCATAGAAAGGGTGTCAACATCAAAAATCATAATTTTGTGTTGATATCACATATATACGTAACTTGTCACAAGAAATAATTTTAATTTGGAAACTATTAAAAAATAGTAAACAAGGAGAAATTACAAAGATCATGTTTTTGAGTTGACAAAATTTATATATGCAATTCATCACAAAAATTAATTTTAGTTTAGTAACCATGCTGACTTAATAAAAATTGATATATTTTCCATTAAAGGTTTAAAAAATAATAATAGAAATGCAGATCTTTTTTCAATTTTCTCAAACATCGTGATTTTGACGTTGATCCCCATGCCCCATATATGGTTAAATTGATCAAGTTAGACAACAGAACGTAAAAGGGGTGGCGGAGTACTTTTTAAAACCTTCTTCACGAACTAATTTGGAGCATGCTGCAACAAAACCAGACAAAGAGAACATTTCAGGGTTCAAGATTTATGGAACACTTGAAAATACAAGTTTTCATCATAATTAAAGATGAAATAAATAAATTTATTTATTTATATAATCTATTAATTAGAACATTTTCTTCTTTTCAATGCTCTTCCTCCAACTAAAAAAAATATAAAATAAATTTATTAAAAAAAAAATCATAATTTTCCATACACAATAATCAAAGCTTAACTTACCTTTACTTGTTGATGCTTTATTTGATGATCATCATTGTCGTCATCATCATAAATTCTATGTTTTTCTGTATTATTATTGTGTGATTGTTGATGATCATTAAATTCGTTCTATGCAGCCTCCAATACATCCAAGTCTTTTAACCAAAGATCTTTGGCTGTCATATTTGTGATTTTTGTTAAGTTTTCTTTTTCATATTCACTGATGGTCTGAGTCAATGTTGGCAAATGTATGGTCTATTGGTGATCCATTAATGTAACATTTTAGCCATATTTAGTAATTTATTAATGGTAATGGACCAGTCCAAAGTCCATCAGCTCTCAATGGACCAGTCAATTTTCCAACCCTGGCATGAGTATAACATTAATTATGTATATGCGTTATTAAACAAATCACCAATTAACTAATTACCCCATCATCATTAGACAACCATATTTCTAATAAATAGTTGTAACCTTCAAAATCATTATTATCATCATCTTTATTATGGATTTTATCAAAATTGTATTGTGAGATAGTAAAATGAGGACCGATAGAGAGATCCCGCGTTGCCGATCCAACCAAACCAAATTACTACGGAAGTCACGTGAAAATCAAATCATTTCTGTTTTTATTTTTAACGTTATATTTTGTGAAATACTGTGCCACACATTGCGCAGTATCACACGCACAATTACTCATATTCATATTTCTATATTTATATTTCAAGAACTTGTTCAGCTGATGTAAATATTTACTTTAAATTATTAATTATTATTTGTAATGATCAGTTGACCCAAATATTTATTTTATTAATAAGCATAGTTTATTGGACAAACTAGAGTAAAAGTCATGTTATTTGTAATACCCAAGAGGTATAAAAGGACTTGGTTTTAGACCAAGTCAGAATCATGTTTATAACAATCTTTTAATTATTGATCTAATAATTAATATTTCTTAATACACTGTAATAATAATATTATTATCGCTAATAAAACACATAACATATTTTACCCTGAAAATAATAACCTTTAACTAATTAATAAACCACAAAGGGGAAACCTTTGCGACCAATAGCAGTTAACCAGTATCTTAACTATCAAGAGACATCTCAAGGGGACGCCTTTGGGATATAATTACATATATAGGACCTAGGGACCCTTTTATCTAAAAAGATAAAAGTTATATTTTATTAATTTTTGACCGTAAGTCAGCGAGTAGGCTGTGTGTCATATATATATATAAATAGTGGAAATTGACTGTAAGTCAGCGAGTAGGCTGTGTGTCAAACAATAGAATCAACTGTAAGTCAGCGAGGAGGCTGTGTGTTGAGCTAAATAACCTATTAAATAGGAAACTCAGATTGCATGCTTGCAGTATGATTCATGGAAATAAGTCTGATTTTATTATCCATCATCTTCATTTTTTGTTCTGTTTCTCTAATTAAATTTGGCTATTATCATACATAAATAAATAGGTGAATCAGTGAATTAGTACACATGTATGAAAATAGATTAATCAACACATACATATATTAATATGGGGCATGCTGCAACAAAACCAGACAAAGTGAACATTGGTGCTACCAAGGATTTCAGGGTTCAAAATTTAGTCATTATCACAATTGTAATGTGATTGTAATTTAGCAGTTTTATAATGTCCCATTTGTTATCTTTCCTTTTTCTTAAATGGTATATAGAATTACCTCTATATAAAAATAGTTAATATGAAACTCATTTACATCAGATCTACCATGGAACCAAGAATTATAGCACCATTAGAAGTATTTTGAAGAAAGAACAAGGGGAGAAAATTACTCCTTACATTTTTAAAATTAGCAGATACCAAATCTTTGCAAACATATTTAGACAAAGAAAGGATTACCTATAAGTTTATCAAGAAGAAAGAAAAATAATAAATGTTTGAAAAAGAAAGCATCATGATGATGCATTATTACCTAATAAAAAGCAGAAATCCTTAATCTTATTATTACAATATTGATTTATTTTTTTTTACTGGCAAAGAAAATTCTCCTTTATGCAAATGTAATTAACAATCATCAAATTGCATTGTTTATCAATAAAAAAAAAGTTTTTGTTTGAACAAATTTTACATTTGAGAATATGTTTATAAATCTTTGTTTTTCTCTCATTGAAGTTGAAGCAAGGTAAATAATCCCACCTTGTATTGGAACATTATAAAAACATTACCAATTCACTTAATTTTCAGGTAAATAACAAATCCTTCTAATAATCACCATTGACAATTTTATTTTGGTTAAAAAAAAACAAATAATAAATATTTTCATCCATAATAACATTTTTAAAAAAATGCTTACATTCAATGGTGAATTTTTTTGCAAGTTGTTAATTGGAGTTTTCCTTGGTTTCTTATTTCACTATAAAACTTGCAAAAATCAATTTTATATTATAAATCAAAAAATTGATCAAATAATCAATAAAATAGAACCAAGAAAAAGCCAATTCAAAAATAAATCAGACAAACTTAATAGTAATAAACAATATTCACAAGAAATAGAAAATCTATGAAAGGATTTCAAGCAATTATTTGACAAAACAACTGGGTTGAATCCCAATTTTTCATTTGGTGAAATGGCATGAAAATTCATGAATTATTTGGTGAGAAAAAAGTTGTTGCTTCTATTGTTAAAAATTTCTATCAATGAAAAACAAACCCTAGAAGCAAAATGATAGAAGCAATTCAACAGTGGATTGAGAAAGAAAAGAGGAAAGAGGTAGAGAGTGAAGATGAAAAGATAATGAAAACAACAAAGATATGAATATTAACAATGATATTATCAATAATAATAATAGTAGTAGTAAGTGAAAGTTAGATTTTTGTCAGAGTGCCCAAAGAATAGGTAATGACTTTGGGCCCAAGTATTTTCCTCCATGCAAGTATGACAATTTTTTAACTTATATTTTATGTATTTTTCTATTATTAGAATAAAAATGTAATTTTCTTTTTTTGCAATGATCTCCTGTACAAATCATGATAAAAATCAAATGGAAAATTTACAATTTGTGAAAATGAGGAAGGATTTATTGATTCAGATAATTTTGGCTTTGACACAATGCAAATATAATAATATATAAACATGCTAATTTTAACATTTTGTACTATATTTTCTCAGGTCGTATTGTCAAATGTTAGTGATGAGTTCCATAGATATCTGTCATCCATTTATCTGTCATTTACCTCTAAAAATTAATCCGTCATCCAGTAATTTCTTTTAATCACTGCCTGTAAAAATAAATTCCAAGTCATGTGCCCACTAATCTATCATTGGTCAAAATTATGCATGAGAAACAATTAATTGTATCTAAATTAAGGTTGCAGGAGAAACTCCTCCAGAAATCAATCGACAGAGTTTCGACAGGTTACACATTAATTGTTTATTAGAGTTTTGGCAGAGTTTCGCATTTGGGGTTTTTGCCAATCATCAGAGTTTCGACAGGTTACACATTAATTGTTCATTAGAGTTTCGACAGAGTTTCGACAGTCATTAAGAGGTTTCGCCCACAACCTTAATCTAAATCAATAAAAAAAATTTTTTTAAAAATTAATTTTACGATCTTAAAAAATGGCAGCATACGAAGAAATTAAAGAACAATTAAACATTGCAGTTAAAAACCATGAAGAGGTGAAAAAGGAGTTGAAGGAGTTCGAAGAAGAAGAAGAAGATGGAGTATGGCTGAAAGTGTTGAGGAGAAAGGTGAGAAGTGACAACCTTAATGAAGAGGACAAGGAGGAGAAGAAGAGACTGGAAAAATAAGAAGAACGTAGACAACAGGTTGAAGCAGGCGGAGGAGTTGCAAAAAGTGTTAGCAGGATTTGATAAAAAAGGTAATGAACAAATTGCATAAAAAAAAATTTTTTTGTTCATTCTATTTCATTTATTTATTTATTCGTTTAAGAGAACATTTTATTTGGTATACTGTTTATGATTTTAACTTCTTTTCATATTAGTAGGTGTTAGTGAGGGTCCCAACTGGAAAAACTCTGAGTCAATTTATGCCTGGATAAGGCATTTTAAACAAAATCCTGATGTTCAACCATCCAAGGTATTATAATGTCTATGTTCCAATAATTGCTTAACCTGGTTAAATACTGATTAACATTGTTACTTTTAGCTTGTGGAGTCCTTTGGTTCTATTTTTCCTTTAAAAGGTCAAGAAGATACACTACAAACTTTGTGTAATGGCTCAGACAGTAGGAATGATATATATTAAAGAGAAAAATAAGAGACCATTCACTTCATCCTATTCTTGTCCTAGTTGGTGGACCTGGAACTGGTAAAGGCTGGATCCTCCAAGAACTTCCTGCATTACCACATAATCATGTTCAACAATATTCATAATGAACTGAAGAATGCAATTTGTGAAAATAAAATGTTTGCCATTAATGTCTAAGGTTTCTGGTCGAAACTGCTTCTATTAGTAGCCGAAATTGCCCAAATACTTTGGGCAAAAATTATTTTTTTATAAGCCCAAACTACTTTTTGTTATTAGCCGAAATTGGGCAAAATTATTTTAAAGTTGTTTAAGTTAAAACAAGTTGATTCATATAGTTTTTTAATGTTCATGCTTATAGAAAATGTTGAGAAGCCCAAATTGCCCAAACTAGTTTGGGCTTTGAGAAAACAGTTTGGACCAGAAACCTTAGATGAAGAGTATGATAAATATTTAGAAGGGATAAAAAAAATGTACAATTTGATCAGGAAAAATTCTTCCATTACAAATTCAGCCTTGCTTTTATCTACAAATGGTAGAAGTACATCAATCTTTTATCAAAACCATTAGAGCATAATAACTATTTTGTGGTGGATTGTAATAATTTCAGAGATTTTTATGGATACACATTTGCTAGTTGAGCTGAATTTGCTGCAGGTATTATTCATTATTACAAGTTTTTTTTAGAAACATTAGTCATACTGAAGCAATTAAGAACTTTATCAACTGTTTTTTTTGAAAAACAGCTAATGATCAAATAGATATTAACAGTGCCTAAGAATTTGAAATTAGAATGATATGGGGGTATAGGACCAGAAATTGCAAAAATGATCTGTAAGAAAAGGAAAGAGAGACCATTTAATGATATAGAAGACTTACTTTCCTGTGTAACCATAAAATGACAAGTAGCTTTAAAAAGAATAAAAACAGGAAAAGTGTATGTTGCCACTTTTGACCAGTGAATTTATTAATTATCATGACATGCCAAATTCCAATTTATGCTTTTTTTTTTGTCTAGGACTAAAAAATGACCTAGATTGAAAATAAAAGGTAATTAAAAAAGTAACAAAGTTGAAAAAAAAGTAATTATTTGTTATTCTGCCAGTTTTCTTTTTTTTCTTGATTCTTTACTAGAATTCTCTAATACTCTTTTGAAAACTCTCTAGATGAATATTGTGATGGTTTTGTTGCAGCATGCCCCGTATATACATTGATAGTAAAAAAATCCAACAAAGTCATAACCCACCCTTCTTTTTTCATACAAATTTAATCTTTTTTCATAAATACATTTATTATATCCATTGATGAATTATATTTTGTTAATTTATTGAAGGACTCTTTTCATTTGACATAAGTGGTTGGCAAAAATTCGAAATTAAATTAATATGGGTCTGTACTAGGAAAATCGAGCTTCCAGCTATTTTTTTTTTGTCTTTTTACTCAAAAATAATCTCTAATAAAGGATTCACAGTTGGTGAAAAAATTGGACCCTGATTGCATAGTAGAAAAATGAGATACAAGGCTTGGAATATTTTCTTTATATATTAAAAACATATGGGTTCCATGCTAACAAAAAGATAGTTCGGGAAAAAATGGGGTTTTTGAGAAATCAGCTGATTTTGTTTTTCACTAATCAAAACAACCCCTGATTTTTTTAATCTAGAAACAAAGTTATTACCCCTTTTTTGGTTTGTGACACACAATTTAATTAAAAATTTGCAAATAATTAATATTTCTAAATTAAATTTTCTTTTATTAATTCCAATTAAACATGTCAACTAATCAAGGAGCTTCTCAATATTTTTATGATTTATTTGAACTTGGTTTAGAGGAATATGAAAATTATGAAAATATTCAATTTATTGTACATAATTTAATAAAGTTTTTTGAAAGTCCAGAAAGTTGCAAATGTTCTGAAGAAGAAAAAGATATTAGAACTTGCTTTGAAAGAATTGGATTTAAAAAGTTTTTTGAAAGACATTTTCAAATTATTAATCTAAACAGCAAAGAATTAGATTTGTTTTTAAAAGCACAACTTTTAGCAATGGAAATAGAGAATAAAAATTATAAAAAATCTTCTGAAAAGATCCAACAAAGGATAAACTATAGATATTGTTTTAATTCAACCTATGCTCTTTGTAAAACAGCATTTTTAAAGCTATACAATATAAGTGATTCTAA